GTATCTAGCCTAGAGAGTCTATGGTGCACAACAAAATAGTTGGGATTCAGGTTTGGGTTTCTTTTTTCGCTTGTGGAATGTTTTTATATTAAACAGGGTGCTTGAGGTAGTTTCAAAGTCTTCTAACCACAAAGTACAGAAAAAAAAAAAAAACGAAGGGTAGACTGATTTTGTAGGAACTATAAATATCTGTGCAACTACCTGACCATAAAGATCAGTGATTTCATGACTTTTTCTCCCTGCAGAAAGCCAGCTGACCTACACAATCTGGCTCCTGGGACTCACCCACCTTTCTTGACTTTTAATGGAGAAGTCAAGACAGATGTTAACAAGATTGAGGAATTCTTGGAAGAGACTCTTGCACCTCCAAAGTAAGAACTTAGATTTTTTTTCCAGTCGATACTCCATTTCCTAGGAATGAAAGATGTCCTAAGAGGAGTTCCTAAAAAGCACTCCCTCCTACAATCTTTACTTACAGGAGTAATATTTATTTATGAAAGTTGCTGGCTTCAGTGAGATGACTTCCATGTGTGAAGGTTACTTGCATGACTAATAACTACAGAATGTTTTCTCTGTACACATTTCAGGATGCCCTTGTATGCAGAATTAAGGAGACCAATACTAGAAAAATACATTTGTAGGGGTCTGGTGTCCACATTTTACAAAGCTAAAAATAACTTGGAATAGATGCTGAGAATTGCCACACAAAATATCTGTGCCAGGAAAAGTATTATACAGCAAAGAACTGGAGGTTTCTGAGCTGTATGGTGTATTAGAAAGGTTGGAAGGGGAACTGATTACAGAGTATGAGGGGCTCTGGAGGCAGAAAAGTGCTCATTATTCTAGTCAAGAAATGACAAAAGCCCATGACTGGAAGTTATAACCGAACTAAATTCGGATTAGAAATAAGGCACAGATTTTTTCAGTATGAATGATTATCCATTGGAACAAGCTACCAGGGAAAGGTTTAGATTTACCAGATATGCCTTAGTTAGTCAAATGTTTTGGACTTAATACAAGGATAACGGGGGGGGGAAAAAGTTGGCTTGTGATTTGGACCTTAAAATCTATGAATCAATAAAAATTGGCTTGGTTCCTTATGGAGTGTTTTACCTCCAAGTGAATCAGCAGCTATAGGACAGTCCTGAGGCAACAGATCAGATATTTAAATTTTCTATACTCTGGTCCAAGACCACTGAAGTCAGTAGGAGTCATTAGTTTGTGTTGGTCTTTCAAATCAATGTATTCCTTTGCACCAGATGTCTACATAAAACAACTCAGAGACTGAAAACTTTATGTTCCTTCACCTAGGTAATACTAGCATGTCTTGCTATTACATTCTGGAGTACATTTTCAGCGTAGGGAATTGACATGACTGCCATTCATAATAGAGTGAGCTGCCTGCCAGACTCCGCTACACCTTTCTGGAAATTTATGCATCCTTCTGATTTAAGTCCACTGTATCTTGGATTGTGGGAACATAAAGCACCAGTGCAATTACCTTTGTCACAAAGTCATCCCTGTGTAACTATCCAAATGCCTGCCTTGACAGACGCAGATATTATTAAGAGGGCCTTGCCAAGCTGCTGTTTTGAGATAAATGACAGCATTAATGGCAGTTCCTCATACAGGGCTTTTTAGTTTCTTCTTGTAAATTGTATTTGTAATCATCACTATGTTGCTGGTACCAGGATGTTACTGACACTGCTTCTCCCTTTTCAGGTACCCCAAACTGGCTGCTAAGCACCGGGAATCAAACACTGCTGGAATTGATATCTTTTCCAAATTTTCTGCATACATCAAAAATACCAAGCAGCAGGATAACGCTGGTGAGTAGAAACATTGCCAAATGTGGCAGGGGGTTTGTGTGCTTAGAAGTGGAATAATTTTGCCGTTCTCCCATCATTTTATTGTCAACTCTGTTCATATGACATCAGGTACCACTGCTGGTCAGCTTGAGATGATTGGTTCAGTGGACTCAATTCACACATCCACAGTGGAATTAACTACATCTGTACTAGTAAATAAAACTGGCCACAGAGTGTTTAGTAGCCCCTTTACTGACTGCCATGACATGACCATACAGCTCAGCTTCCTCAGCAGAACAGGATCCCATACTGTTACTGGAAGTGGCTGGTGGCCCATGCTACCTCCTCTACTCTGCCCAGGCACTGCTTAGAGCAATGTGTGTTGACTGGACCCAAAACTGAGCTAGTGCTAAAATTTCGCAGTGGACGACTGGGTGAGAGCAACTCATGCCCTGACCCTTCATAATTTGTTAGATGTGGCCATCAGACTCTTGGCCCACTTATCTCGTGATTATGTTACGCTGTTATAGCTAATTTGCTCATATAAGCTGATTTATATTAAGACATTAAACATAAAGTAATTAAATGAAAGAAGTGGCTTTAAGAAATGTAATCGCATTCTGTAAGCTCCAGACTTTCCCTCATGTGTTTGTGTGTCAAAAGAAATATCGCCCCCTAGAAGCTGGATGCCATGCATATTTACACACATCCTACCCCGTCTTCATAATGAAATGGCTTTTCTTCTCCACATTCCTTTCCCCTCAGAGAGGCAAGACTTCAGCTAGTCCAAGCTCTTTTTGCTCCATGAAAGATAATGGATTTACACTGCCCTCTCCCTTGAGATGAGCTAGTAGAATATCTGCAGTCACTCACTGATGCACGTCTTACCTTATATTACTAGTTTCACAGACAGAGACCTAAGGCATGTTAAACACCGTGTGCTCATATCATTCAGAGAAGACGAGATTTTTTTCAGGTTCCAGCTTTGCCACAGATTTCATCTGTGTGATTGTATTTCATTGCCTGGGGCTGACCCATGAGATGAAAATGGATAAAAGATGATTTATGTCAGATAATGATCTACCTCTTAATATTTTTATGTTGTTAACAGAAGGAAATAATTATAGTGCTTCACTTCTCAGGGATACTAAAAAGTTATTTTTTTGTCTAATGCTAATGGGATGCTCAGCTAACCTCTGTAGGAAGTTGTAAAAGGAAGATAAATTAAGAGTTAGACTAAATAGATGTTACAGTGAGAATAAAATATCTTGGCCATTTAGAAGGAATTTTTATGGTCTGCTCTGCAACAGTAAATCTTAAATTCAGCCGTGCTGCCTCTTGCATTCAAAAAGAGCCACGGGTATCTGTCCACATGCGTAATCCCAACACGTCGCTTCTCAGTGACTCTGCAATATGCAAATCCCTGGACTCATAACGGCTGGCAGCTCTAGCTGGTAATAGACAGCTGTCCTAGAGGTCTCTGCATCTGGCCATAACCAGAGCTGGAATTCGCGATCGGATATCCGCTACTGTGAGATAAGGAATTTAACCCCGCAAAGTGCTCATGACCAGGTTCCACATTTTTGCTAGCTGCAGTGTGATTAATGGGAGCTTTCCCTATTCTGCCTAACAAACTCTTGGTTTAGAGACTCTTGAAAATAAAAAGAAAATACTTCCAAATGGCAATTAAGCACACCAAGGTTATAGAGATAATAGATGTTAAGCTGCAGGAGAGCAACAATCTTTATTCCCTGCAAACGTCCTCACTCATTTTGTTAACTAGTTCATGCTCCAGTGATATCCAGACACATTGCAATCTCTGAACATACCAATACTCAACTTTCCTCTTTGAAGTAGAGAAAAGCTTTTAGTTTAATTTTTTACAGCTGGAGTGCTGCACTGCAAGGAGAATAAAGCAGAGACGAGCAGAGTCGAAGTAGTACCTACACGTTCTTTCTGTCAATGGAGTAGAGTACCTGAGGACCTTGGAGTCCTTGGGACTATCAATGCAGACTTAGCCCGTGCGGGAAGTAGACATTGATTTCATCAGAGTAATTAACTTTCAGTTTTCAAGGGCTGAGCAAGAACAGCCTTTCCCATATCCCAGGGACATTTTACTCACTTTCCTATCCAGTTCCTCTGAACCTGCAGCAGTTATTCTGAAGGCTGATGCGGATGGCAGACAATGAGTTAATTAAAAAGTAGTTGTGTTAGATTTCTTGAGTAGTGAAAAGGCTATGTGCAAAAAGGAAAGAACAGCACCACTGTATACATATTTCATATTGAGCCTATTTCTTTTTGACTGGTGTTTTTAAAAATTGCAACACTATTCAAAAAGGGATATAGGGCTGTAGCTGTGATCTGATACATGCCATTTCGCATCAGGTTCTGATGCCTTACCCTACCCATATAACAGCAGAAGTAGTTCCATATAATTCTGAAATACTAGAAAGCATTTTATAAATGTGAAATAAAATTACTGAGGAGAATGTCCTTTTCCCTCTCTCCATGTGAGCGGGCAAGATCTACAAAGAACAGATTGCTGCTTGTGGTTATCTTATGGTGTTCTTATACACCCCAGCTCTCAGATAAAAGTAATGATACACGACTCATTGTCATCCTCTATGTTGTCTCCTAGCTCCGGCTGACTCAAGTGCTTGGGTTAAGCTGGAAAGCCACATCAGTGTCCAGGACATCAGTTGCACGTGATCAAAATACACAAATAGAAAAAAGACTTGTTAACAAATCAAAAATAGAACAGAGAAAAAAAAATATTTTTTTTTTTTGTTTGAAATAAGGGAGTGCTGAATACCAATTAAGCTAAAGCACCAAACACCAGGTTGTTTAAATTATGTTCTCTTAACTTGGGAGTCAGAGAGGTGAATTCATTAATGTGTGGGATATCAGCCTGGGAATTTGTGGCATCAGTCTATCTCTAGCTGTGAGAAGTGTGGGTTAGGTGTAATTATACATGATCATTCCTCCTTGCGTACTAGTTCAGCAGAGGTTATGCGGTCTACATAACACGAGCTCTCACTGCAGCCTGTGGCTATTAAATCTTTGCAGAAAAGTGTCGTGAAGTGGTTGGGATAATTAATGAGATTTATGCCGTACGAGGATACTGGATGGGAGAAATAATGAGAACGTAATGCAAGCCAAAGATAAGCCCAAGCTGATATAACTCCCAGGAAGGTTTACAGCCAGGATCATACAACAGTTTCAGACTTCAAGTGATGCCATCACTAGGCTGTATCGTTGCAATTTTCCTGTCCTGAGAGAGGTGGTGAGATGGCACCTCATAATAATAATAACACAGTCTGTTATCTGATCTGATTTTTTTTTTTTCTGATAGTGGAAAAGTTACTGAAGAAAACAAGATTTGTAATTTCTTGGTTTAGTGTGTGTCTGAATTCTTGCATGTAAATGAATGGACATAATGATACATATGTCTGTTTCTAAGATTGTGATACCCTCTGCTGGCAAATATGTGAAAATATAAAGCAAGCAGCTTTACAAATCAGGGCTGAAACATCCCCTTAACAAAATAGGTTTCTTTCTATCAAGACAGTTTCCTCTTACAAATGCAACATTATCAAAGAAAGAGAAGTGTTTCATAGTAACTTATCGATTTTGACAAAGTTTTCATGGAAAAAAATCGTGTTTTTTCTGGATGAGTTAAAACTACTTTGAAGTAAAAGGCTTCAACATTACAGAGAAAAATAGTACCTTTTTTTTCTGGTTTCATGCAGTACTTCATTAGCCACACACCGTTATGTTTTATGCCTGGCACAGAAGCAGGTGATAACCTTCTTCTGTAAGTCTGTATGGCAATATGTTATTGATCATGATTCATTTACTCACCAAAGGTATTTGGCAGCTAGGCTGCCCTGATTTAATAGTTCCCTGAATTTCTGATTCTTTTTTTCCATCTTTGTTTTCCTAACTTTTCTGTCTTATAATATAAAAATGTTGAAAGGTTTGGAACAGGCCGACAAGGGCTGTAAGCCCAGAAGCAAACATGCTTATGCCATATCAAAGTCCCACCACTTTTAAGCTTCTTGAAAGGGAAGGAATTGATTCCAGATTCCCAGGATGTGGCAAGCTGTGTTTAAAGAAAGTGTGTGCATTTATTATTTCAAGTCAGTTCAATTACAACAGGCTTGATTCCTTCCACCCCCCGTGTCACTCGATAATTTTATAACAGGCCTCTCTGAAGGAGTCATCTCCTCATCGTGGGATTAGAGCCACATCTCACTTCGGTAGCACAACTGGGTCATTCAGTCCTCTGGCCAGTGCCACCAGGCTTCACCGCTTGTACTTAGAGTGACAAGTCCTCATTCACACAAGAACAGGAGACTTTGGGAGAGTCCCATGGCAGTAGTCTTAAAAATTATTTCCTGGATGCTCTTGCTCAAGTTTTCTTGGCCAATTTGAGAGTTTTTGGTTGCTTACTGATTGTTTGCCATCTAGAAGGAGGTCTTGTCTGAGCACAGGAAAGTAAACCAAGATCTTGTGAGTTTACTTTGGTTCCTTTGGTTGATGCTGAGCAAGTCACTCAAACTCGGTACAGTAACCAGGGTCACAACAATTTGTGTATTCATTGGAGGAGGATGAAATTTAATTAATTGGAATGCTGTGTACGTATTTGGTATCCTGCTTATTATTTTTTCTTGTGAGACTGTAGACTGCAGACTAAGGGGACAACCTATAGTAACCACCCGTTAACCATCCCGCCTAAAATTGTAAGTTATTTGGCTCACAGAATGAGCCCTTTGAATTCATTTAGGAATTCAGAAAGTTGTTCTTGAATTGAGTTCTTAGGGGGCACCAGCTCCAGTGTGGGTGGGCGCATTCATTAGTGGTACGGAAGGATATTTCACTGTATGGCTCTTCAGAAGGCACTGAGCCGGGAGACCACCAACATGATTTCATGCAGAGGAATTTCCAGCCGTCTGACCAGAGGACTCCGCTTGTCTGGTTTGTGTTTACATCAAGAGGCCAAAAATAAAAGCACATTTAAA